GAGCAGATCTTTTTATAAAAATAACTTAAAGCTCAAAATGGCCTCTTTTATGCTCTACTCCCCTCACCCCAAAGTGTTGACCTGTCTTGTAATGTCTGAAGAATCCATGAATATATTATAAGTTAGAGAGAAAAAATTAACCTTTGGTAGGCAGAGTACTGAAAACTTCATTTTGAAGAACACCAGAAAACTCAGTCTACCATTTCTTGAGAAACTGGGGTAAAAAACCCTTCAGTTTTCCTAGAAACAAACATAGTGACAACTCTTCAAATAACCTTTTTCCTCAATATAACATTTACTATAATTAGCTTAAACTAGAATGAATGAAGTGAAGCAGAAATTGGAACTTCTAACTTTACCTTTGCCTTCTGTTATGTAGGTAGAATTCATGGTACTAGAGTCAATCAATCTTGATATGCTTCAATTAATACAATATAAACATTTCCCAAAGACTTCCATGTTGCCTAGAGGAATTAAGACGTGAAACATTTAATGCATTTTTAAACCTTAGATGAAATGTATAGTAACTGTAATATCTGACACACTGGTCCTTATTTTAGAAAAGAGAATTCCCAAACTAGATAAGAAGTGGGATTCCAAAAGGCAGAATCTAGGAAATTGTTCATGATGAAATATTATGTTAGAAGTTAGAAAAATAACTTCAACTGTGCTCATTGTGGAAATTAACTTGTCACATAATTATTTATGGAAAATTACATGATGACAACTAATGCCTTCAGTTACCAACAATTTGAGTTTATAAATGAGGATTATGGGCGGGTGGGGGGGGGGGGCGGGGACCATTAGGTTAGGTTTGGGCAAAGAAAGGAAAAAAAATAATGTCTGTTAAACCTAAAAAGTAGTCAGATGCATGCACTTCAAACGAATGGTGTTGGGAGGCACATCCTCCACAGGCCCCCATGCAGTCTCTGAAAATTCTAGCTGAGCAGCCAGCTTGAAGGCCAATCCATCTCCTGACGCTGAGCAGTTTCTGTTGCTAGTCATGGAAGCAACCCAGTAGATCAAGGTGCCCACAGTGTAACTGTCAGCAACTGCCTACTCCCCAGGGGACATTAGGGATGGAGGGTGGCTTGTTTGCTTCTTACTGCAATTTTTGCTGCTTGTTGGGCCCATGGCCCTGGGCTCCTCCCTGTACTGCAGCCCACTCTTTGGGCAGCATCCATGTCAGCCACCGCATCACCCTATGGACTTGGAGAGATAGGGACCTAGCACCAACACGCTGACTTCTGGCGACTGCTTTTTCTGTGAGTTACAATAAAGCCGTTCATCTCTGAAAAAGAAGAGTGATCAGATGTCCTTCCAACCTCCCAACACTCAGGATTGAAATGCCATCATCTTTGCTGCCCTAATGATTGTCCCTAACATCCCATCCGTTTCCAAAGCCCATCATCTTCACCTCTGAAGGTTTCTGCACCTTCATTTTACCAGCACAAACCTAACCCTGGGCCTCATCATCTCACTTAATCTATTGAAACAGACTCCTAACTAGCCTACCCCTGCCCCAGGTTTCCATTTTATTCTATTTCCTGCATCTGCTCATGTTACTTCTCCTGTTTATCATACCAAGTGCTCCTCATTATTAATGCAGTAAGTCTGAGCTCTTTGCTCTGCATTCAAAATCATCTATGTGGGCCCTCAAAGTTATGATGTAATAACGTTCAATTCTATAATTGAGCACTGAGTGTCTGCTATGCACCAAGTGTATGTTACTAGATGTTCTGAATGATTCTCAAATAAAGAGGACACACTTCTCAAAGAGTTTGTAGTTGCCACTTCTTATAGTGGCCATTATGATGGTTTCCAGGTTCTGAATGCCTCAGACAGGACACATGTTCCCTCTGCTCCAGTCCACATGGAATACCTGCTTTTCTTCATGACTTCCCCACCATCACTCATATAGTCCCAGGCCTGGAATGGTTTCTTCTTCTTTTTTATATATTTTTTATTGATTTCAGAGAGGAAGGGAGAGCGAGAGAGAGAAGAAACATTAATGATGAGAGAGAATCATGGATCGGCTGCCTCCTGCATGCTCCCTACTGAGGATCAAGCCCACAACCTGGGCAAGTGTCCTGACTGGGAATCAAACTGTGACCTCTGGTTTATGGGTCATCACTCAACCACTGACTCACACCGGCCGGGCTGGAATGGTTTCTTTCTTTAACACATATTTATTGCTTACCCCAAAGCAGTGGTCAATGTCACATCAATTCTCTTCTTTCTGAGAACAAATGTAAAATGCATCTGGTAATATAAAAAGAATAAAGTAGATTAAGAGGTCAAACTGACTCATTCTTGAAGGATGAAATTTCTGTGCTCCTCACCACTGTATGGACTGTATGCTAGAACCTGTTTTGCAGGGAGGTGGGGGAGATGAGGAGTGAAGGGACTAATACCATTCAAAACACATGGTTGAGAACAACAATCATGATGATGGATAATATTTATTAAGTGCTAAAAATATAATCAGTATCCATTTAAAACCTTACACTGATTAATTGAGATACTATTATTCCCCTGGTATTGATACTTGAGACATGAGGGAGGTTAAGTTGTCAACATTTGCAGTGATAATATATGGCAGATCCGACTGAACCAAGGCAGTTCAGTTCTAAGGCCTACTAGTAAACCAACCACCATTCCATGATTTGACCCACAGGATACCAAGGTGCTCTTAACAAAAGATGGAATAAATGAGTGATGGTTAGATGTCCAACAGATTTTCATGTCAATTACCTCCCTGCCGCCAATCTCTTCTCCTGTAAGTCCATCCTCCAAAAATACATGAGTGATTTATTCAACATGAAAGTCCAACTTTGTCATTATTCTGACTAAATAATTCAATGGCTCCCACTACTGGAGAGAGAAACCACCATTATACATTGCTTTGCAATGAAATTTATGAGGTGGTGTGTCAGTTTAAGAAATCTTCTACAAAACATCTAAACACCTGGTATAGAAGGAAAAGTTTATCTTGTGAGTTGTTGTATTAGCCATTATGAAGAGAATCCTTATTGGATGTCATTGACAGACAGTTGCATGAATATTTAGTTTTTATGCCCAGAAATCTGCCTTTGGGGAGGCATTACAACAAAGTCAGGGAAGCTCACGGGGGGCAGGGGGGAAGCGGCAAAAGGGAGAATGGTTAAACACAAGGGCTTTGGAGCCAGAGTTTGCAGGACTGAGCTCCAGCTGCCTTGCCTACAGCAACCTCAAGTGCAATTGGAGGAAAACATCTTCCTCGTGGGATTGCTGTGAGGACTGAATGAGGTAACATATTAAAGAGCTTAAAACAATGTCTACATAGAAATTTCTAATAAAGTGATAATATTTATATATCGTTAAAATTTTCATTGTTCTATACTTTAGTTATATTTATAGTCGTTTACATAGTAATATGTGAATGCAGTTTTCAAAAACAAGAAATAGAAGAAAATATGGAAAAAATAAAAGATGATCTTCTCCTAGGGAGAGCATTGCTAAGATTTCTCAATTTGCCCTTCTAGAATTTTCTGTGTATATAAAAACATACACGTTCTTTTATTTAAAATAAAAACATAAAAGATAGCATTTATGGTAGTTTTTCACCTTGCCTTTTTTTCTGTGAAGATTGTTCCATAGATCTACTAAATTATCTTTAATAGCTATGCAGTATGTCAACATGTAAATGTGGTAAACTTACTTAAGTTCTCTATTGGTGGACATGTATGTTATTTTCAGTCATTCTCTGTGACAACATTCATTTCCATGAATATGCTTGTATGATTATTTCTATAGAATCCATTTCCACAAGTGGAATTGCTAGGTACATTGTATATGCATTTGAAAGTTTTATAGCTCTTGTTCAACTGCCTTCTGAAGAGGCTGAGAGAATTTATATTCCTACTCAGTTGTAATATAGAGAAGTTATTTAAATATACATTCTATAAGCCACTCAATTTTCTTAGGCCAATTTTCTCTCTGTCCCAGAAAACCCCAAGCTATGTTCCTGCCTCCTTGCCTATAATCTTGTTTTATTCTGAACCTGGAATTACCCCCCCTTTTTTTTTCATTTGTCTATCTCCAAGGGTGGGGAACCTTTTTATCTGGCAAGGGCCATTTGGATATTTATAGCATCATTCACAGGCCATATAAAATCATCAACTTAAAAATTAGCCTGATATATTTGGTCAAACATTTAATTAACTCAGCCCTAATGCCTTTGCAGGAGGCAGACCAAATGATTTCTCGGACCTTACATGGCCCTGATTCTAAGCCCTACCCATCTGCATTAGTAGAACATACTCAACTGCAAGTAAAACTCAAATGAAACTAGCTGAAGGAAAATTAAAGGGGGAATTGAGGATAGTTATTGCAAGGGTTCTAGGTAATCATAGAATTGAAAGATGAGCTACAGATTCCACGGCAGTTCTAAGGACCTAGGACTGGAACCCACACATACACCTTCCAATTCCCTATTTCCAACTCTCCATATCTATATATGACCTAATTATCTTACGTGCTAGATTGATAGGTCCCAAAGCTGTCAAAGATGTGAAAGTTTACATAAAAGGTATCAAATTATAAACATGAAATGTGTTTTGCACTGGCAACGTCTGGCTGTCCCTACTTTTGTTGTCGTCTCATGCGTCATTACATGGAATTCAATGAAGATCAGAAAGCACTGGCTGACTGTCCAGAAAAATCATTCCTCCCAAATACCAAGGAGTCAAAATTCCACTGTTATTCTTTAGAATTATATCCTTTAAGTGGAAATTGTCCAGCAACAATTCTGGGGCCATCTCTTCCCTACCTCCCTGACTAGAATGCTTTGGAAGTGCCCCTTCCTCGCGCTCTCCGTGGTCCTGAACCACCCCCTAGTAGTGCCTCTTGCAGTGGCAGAGAAAATGTGATGAGGTGGGAGGGCGAGGATTAGGGAAGCTGTTCAGGGAACAAAGAAAAGATTTTATTCTTAAACCTTTATTTTTCAGTACTCTCAGTTACCAACAACAACAACAACAAACCAAAAACAACTCAATCAACCTTGGCCAACAGAGAGAGCAAGCAATTTTGTGGGAGGCAAATGTCCCTGTGCACAAACAAGGTCACTTGGGGGAATGGACAGGTCACCACTGGGCAGAGACAGAATGGGTCATCTGCCATTTGCAGTTGACATGCAAAAAATTATACATGGATTTTATTTATTGTAACTTATATCATGATGGAAAAATTTCTAAACTAAAGCAATAATAAAATCTCACAGTTCATAGAGACATGCTTAAGTATATTTTGTAGTTCTAGAAATATTCCAAGAGTTACAGTTTTCACTCTTTGGCAAATTGTGTATCTACTAATGATGTAGCCATTTTTATTTTACATAATTATGCTGTTGGGTGTTGATTTATTTTACATAAGATTGTATTTCTTGTTTTCTAGCTTAAGACTAAGTGAGTAGTATGGATATTTGTCCTTTTAATGCACTAAGCTACTTTCCATTCACAGATGTTTAAGAAAAAACAACTCTTCATACTTGTCAGAAGAGAGATTTGATACCCGTGATTGAAAAGAGAGAAGCCCCAATGCAAGGATGCCTCAGGTAAGTAGAGCTTTTATTGCTGCTCTTCTCATTGTATGTAGACATGTGACACTAAAATGTACAGACCCTGCTTGTGTGTCACAGCACCATCTTACTCTGCCTTTGGATTAATCTGTCATTTAGAGCTCTGCTACTGAGGGTGGTCCCCACCCCCACCCAGAAGATTCAGCATCACCTGATGTGTGTTAAAAATGCAGACCCTCAGCCTGCCCTAGATCTTGGGAATCAGAACCTGAATGTTAACAAGATCTGCAGATCTAAGAAGCATTGACTGAGCAGATTCTCAAGCCAAATGTGACTTCCTAGCTCACTTTTAATTTCATTATTTCACATTTTTTAATCTAAAAGCAAGAAAAATTTAATTACAAGAGGAAACAAGGTTATCAGAGGGAAAAACATCTTTGGGCTCTCCTATTGTACTGTCTGTGATCAATGACTTTAAATCAGAAGGCAGTTGATTGTTTTGGGGTCTCATTTGCCTTGTGCCTACTTTTCTCATCAAAGAGATCACAGCACTCTGTATTATCTGGTCTTACATCTTCACTGAAAGCTTCCTGTGGGCAGGGCCATGTCTTAGATATCTAAATACTCAGTGCCTAACCTAATGCCTAACACAAGAAGGTGCTCCAAAACATTGGAATGGCAACACATAAGCAAATAGATAACCAATCACTTACCTGGGTTACATCCACCCTTCAAGTTCAAGCTTACAACTCCTCTCCTTCATAAAGATTTCTTCAGTTATTTCATCCACCATGCTGTCCACCTGCTGTAAGTAAATATCACTTATTTGAGATTTAACACACACACACACACACACACACACACACACACACACACATACATACAAATGACTTTAGTTGTCAATTATCTTTATTTTGTATCTCTCTTATTACCCCATCCAAGCTGTAAAAAGGTATCTCTTTTGATATATTTTATATTGCCTTGCAGAGTAGGCATTCGAATATTTGTTATGCTTGAACTACCTTAAAATAAAAATAGACATTAACATGAGAAAATCTACAAGCTTTGATTTTCCTTCAAGCATAATTCTCAATTGCCAAAATTAATTCTAGAGATGACAATATTTAAACAGCTCCTCCAGCTGTGACCTATTTATCTTAACTAAAGCATCTGTTTTGATATATGAAATACTTTCTAATTTTTAAATGGTTGGTTACATCTTTAGCCAACTCAATTCTTATTTCTGTTATGACAGTAGTTTATGCTTCTCTATGCTTCTCTATGTTGACCATAGTTAAATTGGTTAATAAAAGTTTATAACTAGAGATCATTTTAAGGATATATGTAATAATTTATAAAGTTTGCATGATGTCCCTGATAGCACCACACAGACCAATATTTCCATTTTGAAACTAACTGTAGAGATATTGCTCAATAGTGCACCCGTGGCATGGAAGGTTTTAATGCCTGGAATTATAACTACATTTGTGAATATCAACACAGCTGCTCCAGGGTACACCTTAGTCTATTACACAAATCATCCCTAAGTGTCCTATAGATGGCAGCATTGAGCAATATATTTGGTACTATGTGGCATTTTGGTTTCTGTAAATTTTCAGTTAGGAGTAAATTTTTCAAATAGTGTATATCATTATAGTATACCACAAGACTAATTTAGTGTAAGGTGACAGGATGATACTTGTAGTTGTTTAAATTACTTCACTTAGATTCCACAAAAACATCTCTTTCTATTTGTATATAAAATGCAGCAATGTTTATTTCCAGAATTATCACAACCCATTAATAAAAAAAATGTAGAGAACAAATGGATCTACTATTGTACAATTATAATAAATATTAACCACCTTTAACATTGATAGTAAAACATCAGCAACTAGGAGGAAATGGCAATACCTAGTATCTGATGATCAGTGATTATCTTCCACATGAAACCCATTGGTCTGACCAGAATTTGTCATAGCAATCTGGCTTATTTCATGATTTCTAGCCAATAAGTTAGCCACTGACGTTGAGTTTTTAAAGCAGAAACCCTTTCCCACTGAGACATTTTTTAAAAAGCTTTTATAATAATTTTTCTTATATGATCAAAATCCTAACCTTTCTGTGAAGGTTATTGTAGAATATTTGAAAATTAAATTGATCTTCCTGCCCTCTTCTTTTAGGAAAGAGTTCAATATTTTGTTTTCCATAGAGGTGTGTTCCTTTTATTTAGCTTTTATTTATTTATTTATTTATTTTGGGGGGGGGGTGTCATTTAAAAAGTAAAATTCTTGGGATTTAGATCGTCTTCCTACAAAATATGAAATAACCCCACCCTGAGCTAAACGTCAAAACCGTAAAAAGCCCTTTGGCCTTAGATTACATTGTTACTAGTAAACAACCCTTTATCTTTTTTCTTGCCAAGGGTGAAACCCCATTCAGTTACACTTTACTACTAACTTCATGCTTCCCTGCTCCACCCACCCCTCCCCTGCTCCGCATCAAGCAAGCTATACCCTCAGAATCTCGGCCACTGTTATTGCCGCCTATTACCAGTTCCAAATACGTATATGCTATTTATAGCTCTGCCGTAGTGGGCACGTGTGCCCACATAGCCAAGCTGTCAGAAGGAAAGAGGGCGGGCTTTCAATTCAACAGTGTGTACACAAATTACAGATTAACCAGGTTCAGATGAGGTTGCATGATGGCAGGGAACAAAAAGGTGAAAGGAGAAATGAGAAGCTCCTGGGCTTCGCTTGGGGATCGCCCTTTTGCAGATGCCGAGTCCCCAGAATTCACGTATCACACGCTGCTGAATGGCGTTTACCGTTCTTTTTAAAAAAAAAAAAAAAAAAAAATTTCCCCTACGCTTCGCAACCTACCTTGGTACCCCTACCATCTCTCCCTACCTCCCCTCCTGTCAGGCAAAACTTGAAAGACAGGGAACCCCACCAATCAGCAGGCTTCTCCGAGAAACTCCCCCCGCCCCTCACCCTGCCTGAAGGCCCAGCGCCTCGATGCTGCGTTTTCCCCGCCAGCATCCCGCAGTGCCTGAGAGCTGGCAGCCGACCGGGGTCTCCCGCGGGAAGAGGAGACGGAAACCCCGAGCGGACCAGGAATGGGGTGTAAAAATAAGACAGCATTAAACCGAACGCCAAACGTCATCTGCGTAGGGTCTTTAATACCAGCGGGCAAGTAGGGGACAAGCTGCCCGTTTACAGGTCAGCTTAAAAATACATAGAAACTTCGGGGAGCGTTTGCTTGTGGTGACTGATCCCGCAAGGTCAACTAAGAGTCTCTCGAAGTAGACCCAGGCTGCTGACCTGTTCTCGCGAAGTACCCATGTTCCTGTACAGTCGAGCTGGCACCATCCTTGTTTTCTCCCCATTATCCCTGCGGTCAAGGGTAAAGATTTTATGGGGTAGTTCAATGGGTGTGGAAGCTATGTGTGAAACAAACACTTCAGCCAATATTTACACAGTAGGCCTCAGGAGTCCTCTGTAGGTCCCTAACATATTTTTTTTTAAAAAATCGCAAATAGATTTCCGAATATGATAAGGGGCATCTCATTTTCTCCCCTTGCCTTCACCTCTAAATGTGAATCCCCGCCCCTCGCTAGGATGGGGGAAGAGGAGAAGCCGAGAGATTTAAATGTTCTTCCTAATTAATCAGCAGCTAACCTCACTGCGACGGGCACAGGGTGCTTCCCAGGAATTCCCTCTTCCCCTTTTTGGAGTGACCAGAAGGCCCCATCTCTGCCCTTGGGCGACCCTCTGCTCCTTCGAGATATCTCCCTGCAGCAAATGCGGTGTTTGCGAGGAGCAGGCTGGCCCACAAGTTCCTTAGAAAATCGTATAAAAATCCAGATCTCACCACAGCCTATCACCCCGAAACTGAAATGCAGCTTTTCTATTCCCTGGAGAAGAAAGCCCTGACTAGAAACCTACCTCCCGAGGGGTTCATTTTACCTGTTAGGTAAGATGCAGCCCGGCTCCGGCTCCCCCTCCTCTCCCGGCGGCCCTCCCACTCCGGGCTCTCTAGCCGCAGTGCACCCCCGCCGCCCCCCACCCTCACTCCTGCGTCTTCCCGAACTCGCCCCCACCCCGCGCCGTTTTCCCAGACTCCCTTCGTGCTTTCGGGTGACCACCCAAACACCCCAGCCCGCGCCCGCGCCCGCGCCGGGGATTCCTGCGGGCCGGGGGCGCCCTGGGTGGCGCGCGGGGAGGAAGGCGCTGCGCCCAGTCTGGCGGCCGCGCAGGGGCGCTGGCTGAGCGCAGCGCGGAGGCCTGGAGCGGGCGCCGCTGCGGCACTGCCGGAGGGAGAGGGGGGCGGAGAGGGGCGGGCGCGGGGCGGGCTCGGCCGGGAATGTAGGGACCCAGGCGGGAGCCTCCCGGCGGCGGCGGCAGCCGGGCTGCGGAGCGCGGAGGCTCCGTCACGTGTTTTTCTCCTCCGAGTGAGACGGCGGCGCGGTCGGTCGGAGGGGGCCGGCGCGCGGAGCCAGACGCCGCCGCTTGTTTTGGTTGGGGCTCTCGGCAACTCTCCGAGGAGGAGGAGGGAGGAGGGGAGAAGTAACTGCAGAGGCAGCGCCTCCCGGGAAGAGGCGTCTTCCCCGACTCCTTCCCAAACCTCCTCCCTCGCCGCCCGCCCTTGTCCCCTCCTCTCCTCCCCTGCCGACTGGAGCGAGGGGCAGGGATGTGCCTGTCCCTCCGGCGCGTCCCCAGCTCTCCCGGTTGCCTAGTAGCGTTTCGCGTGGAAAAGCCACTTTCTCCGCCTGCCGAGATGGGCCCGAATGGGGGCTGCAGAGGACGCGACTGCGGGTGGCGGCAGCAGCAGCAACAGCCGCAGCGCCGCGGTCTCTGCGATTGAGCTGGTATTTGGGCGGCTGGTGGCGGCGGGGACTGTTGGGGGGTGGGAGGAGGCGGAGGAGGAGGCGGAGGAGGAGGAGGAGGGAGAACCCCGTGCAACGTTGAGACTTGGCAGCTCGCCTCCCCCTGCCCAAGGATATTTAATTTGCCTCGGGAATCGCTACTTCCAGAGGGGAACTCGGGAGGGAAGGCGCGCGCGCCTGGAGGGGCAACCTGGGGACCCCTGGCCGCTGTCGCCTGCCTGCTCGGGACTCCGGCTCGGGCGGGGAGAGATGCATCTACACTCCTTCCCAGAGACTTGGCTCTGTGAGGATCCGGGCTGCACACCCGCCGGACGCACTGCCTCTCCCCCGGGTGTTTGCATGAAACGCCCGTAAACTCTGGCCGGGGCTCTCTCCTCGTCGTAGCCGCAGCGTCCTGCTTGGGCTGCCCCTTCCCAGCGCGGGGGGGCGGCGTGGATTTCGGAGTCGGGGTTTTGGCCGCCTCCAGCCCTGTTTGCATGCGCGGGGCCTCGGCGAGGAGCCTCCGCCCCCCACCGGGTGGTTTTTCGGCGCCTCCCTCTGCTCGGCGGAGGTGGTGGCGGCAGCATGGCGAGCCCTACCGAGACCGAGGGCTTCTCGGACGTGCGCAAGGTGGGCTACCTGCGCAAACCCAAGAGCATGCACAAGCGCTTCTTCGTGCTGCGGGCGGCCAGCGAGGCGGGGGGCCCGGCGCGCCTGGAGTACTACGAGAACGAGAAGAAGTGGCGGCACAAGTCGAGCGCCCCCAAACGCTCGATCCCCCTCGAGAGCTGTTTCAACATCAACAAGCGGGCTGACTCCAAGAATAAGCACCTGGTGGCCCTCTACACCCGGGACGAGCACTTTGCGATCGCAGCGGACAGCGAGGCCGAGCAGGACAGCTGGTACCAGGCCCTCCTGCAGCTGCATAACCGCGCCAAGAGCCACCACGACGGGGCTTCGGCCCCCGGGACAGGAGGCGGCGGGGGCAGCTGCAGTGGCAGCTCCGGCGTTGGCGAGGCTGGGGAGGACCTGAGCTTCGGGGACAGCAACCCAGGGCCCGCCTTCAAAGAGGTCTGGCAGGTGGTCTTGAAACCCAAGGGCCTGGGTCAGACAAAGAACCTGATTGGTATCTACCGCCTCTGCCTGACCAGCAAGACCATCAGCTTCGTGAAGCTGAACACAGAGGCGGCCGCAGTGGTGCTGCAGCTGATGAACATCCGGCGCTGTGGTCACTCGGAGAACTTCTTCTTCATCGAAGTGGGCCGTTCCGCCGTGACCGGCCCCGGAGAGTTCTGGATGCAGGTGGAGGACTCGGTGGTGGCCCAGAGCATGCACGAGACCATCCTGGAGGCCATGCGGGCGATGAGCGATGAATTCCGGCCTCGCAGCAAGAGCCAGTCTTCCTCCAACTGCTCCAACCCCATCAGTGTCCCGCTGCGCAGGCACCACCTCAACAACCCTCCGCCCAGCCAGGTGGGGCTGACCCGCCGCTCACGCACCGAGAGCATCACAGCCACCTCTCCCGCCAGCCTGGTGGGCGGGAAGCAGGGCTCCTTCCGTGTCCGCGCCTCCAGCGACGGGGAAGGCACCATGTCCCGCCCGGCCTCGGTGGACGGCAGCCCCGTGAGTCCTAGCACCAACAGGACCCACGCCCACCGGCATCGGGGCTGCTCGCGGCTGCACCCCCCACTCAACCACAGCCGATCCATCCCCATGCCTTCTTCTCGCTGCTCGCCTTCGGCCACTAGCCCTGTCAGTCTGTCGTCCAGCAGCACCAGTGGCCATGGCTCCACCTCTGACTGTCTTTTCCCGCGGAGATCTAGTGCTTCTGTGTCTGGTTCCCCTAGTGATGGCGGCTTCATCTCTTCCGATGAGTATGGATCCAGTCCCTGCGATTTCCGAAGTTCCTTCCGCAGTGTC